TAAATAGATAAAGAAAGAAAGGAAGGAAGAAAAGAAGAAAGAAAAAGACATACAGACAGACAGACAGACAGACGGACGGACAGACAGACAGACAGACAGAAATAAATAAATAAATAAAGTAAGAAAGAAAGAAATAAATGAAGAAAGAAAAAGACAGACAGACAGACAGAGACAGACAGACAGAGATAGGCAGACAGACAGACAGACAGACAGACAGACAGACGTCCTTGGTGGAGTCCCATGGTGGAGTACTCCTCAGGCTACATCAACGCTTGGGCACCAGCTCGATTTCTTCTCTCTCTCTGTCTCTTCTCTCTCTTCTCTCTTTCTGTCTGTGTGTGTCTGTGTGTGTAAACACTCATGTGGTACACACACACGCCCCCCATGTACACACAAGCAGGCGATGTTGGGGTAACAATAAAACACACAACCACCCACACACAACCTCACACGCACACACAGGACTGTTGGGGCACATGGTAGTGTTGGGGTAACATGAAACACACGCAATCACAGTCCTGATGGGGCACATGATGGGGTTGGGGTAACATGAAAACATGCACACACACGGCCACAGAACTATTCGGGTATATGTTGGTGTTGGGGTAACATAAGACACAGAGACACACAGACAGACAGAGACAGAGAGACACAAACTCACACACACAGAGTCACACAGAGTCACACAGAGTCACACACAGTCACACACAGAGGCACAGAGACACACATACATAAACAGAGACACACACAGTCAAACGCACACAAAGACAGACACACACAGTCAAACACACCCTAAGACAGAGACACATACATACACACAAAGACAGAGACACACACACACATACACACATACACACATACACACATACACACATACACACATACACACATACACACATACACACATACACACATACACACAGACATACTCACACACATAAACCTGCCTGTCATGCATTATTCTTCTACATCATATCCTGTCAGCCAAACATCTCATTTCCGAATTGGTGGGTGCCCATCAAACAGATAGAGCAGCATCCGAGCAGCATCTCCTACTTCCTGCTCTGCTGCCGCTGAAATGTTGCTGCTGCTTCCGAAACGGAGGATGCTGCCCTGCTGCACCGGAGGCAGGCGGCTATAGCCCATGCTACCATCCCGTCCTTGATGACCACGCCGGTTCTCAGCACGTGTTCCCCACACAAGATGAAACGGGTTGATGCATGCACGCTCGTCACAGATGTGCATCGCATCATACTGTGTGTGCGGCAGCACATGTTGTTGTTGAGGTTGCTGCTGGGGTTGTTGCTGCTGCATAGACGGGACAGCAGACACTGGATGATGGTTGGGCAACAGGAGGCATGGAGGAGGTCCACGGAAGGCCCACAAAATGAGCCGGCATGCGTTTGTGGAGCTTGTGTACACATCAAGATCCGCACCCCCCTTACTGC